ACGTTTTATTCAAAATACGGAGCATTTAGACATTTTAGTTAATATAATTTTCACATTGAAAGCATGAAAAACCTTTCTATTTTGGCGAGCTACGAGTTTTGTTGATTATATTGAATATCGAATTAACTTAGTATGGAAGCTATTTGCTTCTCAAATATGAAAGTTGTTGAGTTTTTTTTAATTTCAAAATTTCTATATTTTGTTCAAAATTTTGAATAAATCAGTTTTTTTTGTTAGCTCATACTTAGTTATTTTTAAAAACTTTCGATAATGAAAAAAAGAAAACTTAGAGAAAAATAAATCAAAGAATCTAGTCTGCAAATAAATAATTTTTTCCTTATCCGCCAATTTCAAGTGACTTCAAAAACGAATCTTACTTACCACAGAAAACCATTAAAAAGTTGAAAGCTCTACCAGAAAGTATTTACAGTCTGACAAAAAGATTGGATGAGGCAGCTAAGTGCAGATATTGACAACCATAAGCTCGAGACCAAATGTGACCAGCAGAGCTGGTTGCACAGTTCGATCACCAAATTTAATTTTACGTAGGGTGAGGATTTTAAAGCAGAAGCTATTGACCAAATGTCGCAAACAGTTGATTGTGTCAACAAAAATTGCGACAGAAATTTCAATAACTCCAAAATTGAGATGAGCAAACATCTCAGAGACAACAATTTAGAACTCTGGATCAGATGGGAGGAACTTTTTATTTTATCCTTTAAGCAAGAAACTGTCAATGCACACAAAATATTATAGCCTTTCTTATTTCGATTTTACAAAATAAACTTCTGCCTGGACCACATTTGAGGAAAATTCACAAAGCCTTGCATGCACTTTTTTAAAAAAAGTTTGTTTGAGCATACAAGTGATTCTTAAACAACATCAGAAATTTAGGGATTTGGTTTGCAAAAGGTGAGGCAAAGTGGGTATAGAAGGATGAACAAATTCGTGTTTTAGGTTTACAGAACTCTACAAAATTAGAGTAAACATTTCAGATTCGCAAAAACAAATCCTTTTTCATGGAATTTATTAACACTAAAAAAATCATAACTTTGTAATAAAATTCAGATTATGATCGGTTATATAAGGTTTTTCTATATTGGAAAGAATCGATTAAAGTTCTCTAAAAAACATTTTTGAGTGGTGGAATGGGTCGTGAAAATCGACTGTTTGGGTTAAGTTTTTTGCCTGTATAATCAATCCATTGAAATCAATTATTTCCCACGAAACGCTAGAGCGGGGAGATGTTAAGAGTTTCTGGGAGATGTTCAGAGTTACTTCTGGCCTTTTGTAGCAAAATGTGACTAAATAATTCAGTTCTAGGTGATAGTACTGAGAATTCGGGATCAATTTGCAGAAAAAAATTGCACAAAAATGAATAAACTGAAAAGTGAAAAAAATTTTACAGTTTTTTTTAGCCCAATATGAAAGGAAAAAAATTGCCTATTTGTTGATTTTGTATTGGAAGATATCTGCTAACCCGCGAATTTTATCAACGAGTGACCATTTTGAGGCATTTTTTTGAATTTTATCAGATCAGTTATTTCGTGACCATACTGCACTAGATGACATCCTTATTTCAAGGGTGTTTTAACAGTCAAATACAACAAAAATTATTTGTTTGCTAAACTTGACGGAAAATTTAAGCAAACAGAAGTTTATTTCCTGCCTAATTGCTCAAATTCTCGAAAAACCTGTGTTAAATAGGGACCGATCGAAAATAATAAGGATCGAAGATAATAAGCACCGTGTGCCCATAGATTTCATTTGAATTCTATGGTTTTTTCGAGACAAAATTAATCCTTTATAATCCATTGCAGACCACAAAATCAATTATATTGTCGTTGTTTTTTTGAACGAGAAAAAATCCATTACAATCGAATACTATCCATTATTTTTGGCAATAAAATCGATTGATTGTGACAAGATAAACCAACATAATTGATTGTTTTTGAAACAAAAATCTATGATAATCCATTATACTTCATAATAATCCATTTTCTTTTTAGAACTAATTTCAATTATTGATGCTAAAATTTAGCAAATTTATGCCAAGTCTTTTTAAGTTAAAAAAAAACAAAAAAAATAAAATTCAAATACGTTCAACCGATCTCATCCGCATGTTTACTTAAGTTTACCAATTTCAATCCCCCAGTTTAAAGTTTACCCACCAGAGATTTTTTTTACAATTGAAAGGACGGGGGGGGGGGGGGGGTTGTTACTCTACTACGTCACGACACCCTTTAAGTTTATTTACTCTTCCTTCCCAATTTTAGGTAAACCCACCCCACCGCCATCCATGGGTGGTAAAGTAAAAGAGGTACAATTTACTTTGCTTACCACCCACCACCGTTCAACCCTTAAACCACCCATTCAACCAAGTTTTTACCCCCACCCAATGTTCATTCAGTATGGGGGGGGGGGGGGGTAAACTGAGGGGAGGTGTAAGAAGAGGTAACCCGTCTGGTTTCAACCATTACCATTCCTCCGAGCAAGAGAGGTGGGGACGGGATGGGGGGGGGGGTTGTGCGAATGGCGGCTGAAAAGAAAAATTAAAAAAATGTGTTCAGCTGCAATGAAATGAACAACTGAAAAAGAAGAGAAAAGAAAAAAGGTAAAATCTAATGTGAGAAGTAAATGCGTACCAACTGCGCCAAACAAAAAATGCGATGAGATCAATTCGAAACAAAAAATGAAAACTTCATGAATAGTCTCTAAAAAAAACCTTTCGAATCAATTAACATCAATTATAGTGATATTAATTGACAAAAAGTATTATTATCCATTTTTATTAAATTCAAACAGTTTTTTGTAATGTCATAGATACTCCAAATGACAATAAAATCAGTTATGAATCAAGGGCGATCGGTGCGAATAAACTTTAGTTCTAGATGTTGACGATTACCTTGAAATCTAAATAGTAAACTTCTTGGAGGCGTTAAATATTTAGTGAAACTAGTTATTGACTAGCCGTTATTCTGTAAAACTAGTCATTTTAATAAAATTTAGGATTGATTCATGATCAAAATGTGACAAAATAAAAAAAAATACAATTTTTTGGATCAACGAGGTGAAATTAATTAAATAATATAGATTGTGGTTTCTACGATTCGCAGAGGATCTATGAAAGACTATCCAGCCTGTCTAAGCATAGTCCGTTAGTCTTATTTCCTCACATTCCAGGCTGAGTTAATTGGTTGAGTGAAGCTCTTTTTTTGCGACTCAAGGCCGTTTTTTTTGTGTCAAGAACATTCATGTAGTACCACTATTGCAGCCGTTATCGGTCACGCTCTGGTAGACCTGAAGCTAGAGGTCATGTGAGAGCTCGTCCTCACACACAATCATTGCCACGGCAGAAATTAACAGTTCATTTGCAACCAGGGTTTAGGAACTTAGACGACATGAAGTTAGACGATCAGAAAATAACGGAATTTAGACAATAACTTGCGCGCAAATTGCGTGAAACTTTTTACAGATTTCAATTATCTTTTGACTCAGTAAATACTGGTTGTCAAATTTTGACAATAACGGGTTCAAATTGCCTGAATTTTGTTTAGATACTTAAATCAACTTTTGGCTGAGTAAATACTGGTTGTCCGTGCTTTCCGTTTCTTTACGGTCGTCTAATTTGCTTGTCGTCTAACTTCTTAGGCCCCTTTGCAACCACACGAAAAAAAAACTGTATTCTAAAAGAACTTAAATGAGAGTTCATGATTTTTTTTATAAAGCGACCACTTAATTTTTTGAATAGTAATGATTCGTTTGAAGTTACTTTGAGACCAGTTTCTAGGAACTAGCTGCTTTTATATTGCCTTTCTAAGGGCTGTTGAATGTTCATTCTTGACGAATTGTTTAGAACTGGCTGCGTACAAAATGATATTCTAGGACACGTTAACGATTCATTTATGACCACGTTGGTTGAGTTTGAATGAATCGCTAACTGTTTGTTTAATCAAAATCCAAAACAACGATGCTTAAACGTCGGACGGTCAAGGTCGTCTAAATTTAGGCTGTGGCCGAATTTTGAAAAAAAGTTTAAAATTTTTTTTTCTGCAAATGTGATTTGGAAAAACTCACTCCCTTCCAACTTCCTTTACAACCGAATATATGAATACATGAGGCTGATTGGCTAATCCATGACAATTTTATATTAGAAACTTCAATCTTTTAGGACTTATCTAGAGAAGGCAACAGATATTAGAAAGTTTTTGCAGTAAGTTTGAAAGGCTCAAATCTAAAATCTTTTAAAGAAAAATCAATCATAACAAGACTGCTAATATCAGGCAGATGCCTTTATTGTTCTGAATAATTTTTGAGGTCTAAGAAATAGGGTTAGTTTTAATAAAAATTGAATGAAGTTTTAAAAAAACACTAGAGCAGTTTCATTTTTTTTCCGAAAAGCATTCCCCACACGCCTTTCAAAGAACGGAGAGATATATTTCGCAATTGCAAAGTTATAAATAGATCATGTCTCAATCAAATTTGAAACCATTTCTAAATGGGAATAATTCTACGCCTGCGCGTTTTAGCGCGAACTGTGTTGCGCCTTCACTATCCCAAGTAATCCAAACTTGCATTGTTGAAACGCCAAAAACTTTTTAAAAAAATCATAATTGAATTATCTTTTAAAAATTGAGCTAAAATTCTTGAAAAGAAACTCTTGTAAAATTTTTTAAAATTCTTACAAACAAAAAATTTTTAGTCATAAATTGCCAAATAAAAAGTCGAGTTTTGTTTTGGGAAAAATTGTCAAACTGTTAGTCATTTTCTTCGAAGCTCGGAACAATAAAATCTGAAAATTAGAAAAAGTATTTGATTTATTTCATTTAAGATATAAAACGGTACACTTACAGTGAAGCTCGGTATACGCTTTCATCTCCAGTCGCTAACTTCATTCTTGAGCATGAACGTTACTGGAGAGTTTTTGCAGATTTTTTGTTTCTGCAAACATCGCAATATATCATCATAGTGGCCTACGAGCGATACTTTGCAGTGTGTCGGACCTTCGATTACAAAACAAAATTTACTGCTCGCTTTCGCTTCAAAACAAACACAATGACTATTCTGATTTCTAGCCTGGCAGCAGCAGCTTCGTTTGCAGATGTGTACTTTTCCACTCAACCAACATCTCAAGATTATGTACCCAAATTTTAGTGTAGAAACGTCTGGTTTTGTATCAATCAAGTATATCGTAAAAACAAGTGTTTGTTTGTGAAAAATGAACTATGAATTTCAACAGAGATAAAATCTCAAATATTTTCACGTAAGATTCATGAAAAAAATTTAAACACATTTGATGGATCAGTATTTTTCAGCTGAAACACTTGCATCTTTGGTATTTCACCACAACTGAAAACTACAGTTTTTCTGATGAAACTTTCGCTTTCAGCTCTAAGAGAGTAAACAGTAAATTACAGAGTCATTGAAGTTTTATGCCGTTGAATAATTGTTTTTTTTTGTCTGCGTAAAACTCAGCTGTTTTAATTAGTTTGTTTTCTAATATGTGTCATAAAATGAAATTTTGTCATCAGTTATTTGAGTTTTTTCTGCTTTTCATTCTCTTACATCTTTTTGTTCCGACTTTCGATACGAAAGTAACGGAATATTTGTGCTCGGGGTGGGTTTTTTTTCTTCAGACAATTTTCGACTTTTTAACTAGCCATTTTGGACGGAATTTTTCTTATATCATTCGAAAAGTATTGTTGTCCTGAGCTCAAATTTGAAAAGATATTTCACCTGTGATCATTTTTCGTAAAGTTACTGGGGTCTAAAGTTCCCCTTTTGTCCAATTTGGGACAATTAACACGCGATATTTTTAGCGCTATTAACGCGTAAGCGGAGAGTTAATCCGTCTTAGAAATCGTTCCAAATTGGTACAAAGAAGCTTATTTGCCATAATTTGTTTGTTACAAGGAGCGAAATCTATCATTTTGTACTTTATATGGCGTGTGGGGGGATGGTTTTTATAAAAAAATTACAATATTTAGAAAAAAAAACTTTTTTCATTTTTTTAATTTCATTGAATTTTTTAATGTTGTTACTGCTCCATAAACATTAAATGGCAGTCGGAACATTAAGGGCTTCGCCCTGATACGAGCAGTCTTGTTCATTTTTATAAGTAAAAGTTTAGCTGTTTTATGCCCTTCTGTTTTTCTGAATATCCTAATTTTAGCTTCTCTTTCCATGTCTTTTTCTTTTCCTCCATTTCTTGATATTTGAGACATAATTGAGTAGTCTGAAAGCCCTTGTCTTATTTGATTGCTCTTGTCGTCGTTGCTTATGCTGACGTTTATCTGGTCCTTGACAAAATGTGGGCTTTCTGTATAATTCCATTTGAGAATTCCGTTTCATCCAATGAGACTTTTGCAGCATGAAATATTTCGGTTTTTTTTGAAGTTGTCTTGAAACTCACTGAACTGTTTGAGTCAGTTAGTACAGTAGTGGACGCAGAAGGAGAGGCAATAGGAACAAAACTTATCGTATATCAGAACAAAGTGTTTGCTCTAAAAACGGATGAAAGCTTCAGAAAAAAAAACTTCATTTCTTTTTGAAAAACATCCCTCGAATATTATGATGAGTGAAGTGTGATAGATTTATTCCTATTTTCCAAAAAATAAAGAATACATGTGCTTGGTGTGGTTTTTCAATTTGGTGTGGCCAAAAATAGTCGATAATTGACGGAATAAATAAATCAATTCCAAGCACAACTATTCGGAACTTTCTACACAAGTGGGAACGTTTGCATATACAAAGATACACAAATAGAATATGCGAAGCCTATAGAGAAAGTTTCAATTGTTGGCTTTCCGATGCCATATGTCGCTTGTACCAGTGTAATTGTCTGTTACGAAAATTCTCTGTTGTGTGTACAAACATAAACAAGACTGCTCCTATCAGGGCGAAGCCCTGAATCGCGCGTTAATTGTCCCAAATTGGTCAAAATGGCCAAAATTGCAATCTTTAAACCCTCATAACTTTACGAAAAATGATCACAGGTGAAATATCTTTTCAAATTTGAGCTCAGGACAACAATACCTTTCGAATGACATAAAAAAATTCCGTCAAAAATGGCTAGTTAAAAAGTCGAAATTTGTCTGAAGAAAAAAACCCACCCCAAGCAGAAATATTCCGTTACTTTCGTATCGAAAGTCGGAACAACAAGACTGCTCGTATCAGGGCGGATGTTCCGACTGCCTTTTAAGGTTTATGGAGCAGTAATAACCTTAAAAAATTAAAGGTAAGAAAAAATAAAATGAAATTTTTTTTTTCTAAATTTGAAACTTTTTATGAAAATCATCCCCCCACACGCCATACAAAGTACAAAAGGATAGGTTTTGCTCCTTGTAACAAATCAATTATGCCGAATAAGCTTCTTTTAACCAATTTGGAACGATTTCTAAGACGGATTAACTCTCCGCTTACGCGTTATTAGCGCAAAGTATATCGCGCGTTAATTGTCCCAAATTGGCCAAAATGGCAATCTTTAAAGCCCCATAATTTTAAGAAAAAATGATCACAAGTGAAATATCTTTTCAAATTTGAGCTCAGGACAACAATATCTTTCGAATGATATAAAAAAATTCCGTCAAAAATGGCTAGTTTAAAAGTCGAAATTTATCTGAAGAAAAAAAAAACCCACCCCGAGCACAAAAATTCCGTTACTTTCGTATCGAAAGTCGGAACAACAAGATTGCTCGTATCAGCGCGAAGCCCTGAATGTTTCGAATGCTTTTTAAGGTTTTGTGGAGCAGTAATAGCATTAAAAAATTAAATGTAAAAAAAATATTAAAAAAATTTTTAAATTTGAAAATTTTTATGAAAATCATCCCCCCACATGCCATTTAAAGTACAAAAAGATAGATTTAGCTCCTTGTATCAAATCAATTATGGCAAAAAAAACCCACCCCGAGCACAAATATTCCGTTTCTTTCGTATCGAAAGTCGGAACAAAATTATACTGATATTTCTCTCGCTGGAACTCAACTGATTGTATAGCAAGGCGAGACAATAAGTGTGCCGACTGCACTCTAAGGTCAATTAAAAAGTGTCTTGGTTGAATATTTGACAAATAAGAATAACGAAACTTACTTTTTCTTTTTGTTTTTTTTTTTTAAATTTTATCATCGACACGCTATGTAAGATAGAAATGATGTGTTTAGCATCCCTCATTGTCTTACTAAGGCTAAATAAATGTACAATTTAATTTGGAGCGCATTAAACGCCAATTAATCATATTATATGAACGCATGATATTGCACGTTAACTGTCCCAACTTGAGTAAATTAGCGATTTCTTCGAAAAGACTGAACAATAATGTGGACATTGATGTTTTGCTCAACATGAAATGATTTTTCAAATGATAATCAGATGGCAATTTAAAAACTTATCTCAGATGCAACAAAAATTTCATCAAAATTGCTTAGTTGAAAAGTCAAAAATTGACTGAATTAAAATAAAACCCCAAGCTCAAATGTTCCTCTTTTTCTTCGAAAATCGGAACGAAATTCATCAACCTTTGAAAATAGCCAATCAGAGAGCCAGAAAAAACCGAAGAGCGAAAAAAATTGATTTTTTAAATCGCTTAAGATACAAGTCGAAACCTATAGATGGCTCAATTAAAACGCGTGTTTTCTTGTTTGTGTTTTCTAAAAAAAATTGTTTAATTTTTACGTCATTGAAGTTTTTGTGGATTCCAAACATAGGGTTGGTATTTCCATAATGTTTTGAATTGTACTCATTGTTATGGAAACTTGTCATAAACAAAAGATTATGAGGTAGAATTAGTGAAATGCTGATCTTCCCAAGAGCTTAAATTTGAAAAAAAAGAGAGAAAAAAAAAACATAATACACTCTTACTTCAATCATCAGATCATTTGGCGAATGATAAGAGGACGGGTCTCAACCAGTCATTGAATTTAAAATACAAAAAGACTGCTCGTATCAGGGCGAAGCCCTGAAAGTTCCGACTACCTTTTAAGGTCTATGGAGCATTAATAAGATGAAAAATTTCAATGTAATAAAAAAAATAAAAAAATTTTTTTTTGAAAAAATTTGATATTTTATGTAAGAACATCCCCCCACACGTCATATTAAGTACAAAGTGATAGATTTTGCGCCTATTAACAAATCAATTATGGCTTATAAGCTTCCTTGAACCAATTTGGAACGATTTCTAAGACGGATTAAATATCGCTTACGCGTTAAAAGCGCGAAATTTATCGCGCGTTAATTGTCCCAAATTGGCCAAAATGGCAATCTTTAAACCCCCATAACTTTACGAAAAATGATCACAGCTAAAATATCTTTTCAAATTTAAGCTCAAGACAACAATACCTTTCGAATGATATGAAAAAAATTCCGTCAAAAATGGCTAATTAAAAAGTCAAAATTTGTCAGAAAATTTTAGCCGAATACTGAATCTCAATTTGTTACAGCTTTGGTATTGTTTTTGTTCGACTTAAGGGCAAAGCAGTTGTGAAACAAAAATTCTTTTGCCGCCAAAATGTTTTGCATTTTTTTTTGCTCTTTTTTGTCTTTATTGAGTTAAGTGTCTTGAGCCGACCAGTCTCTTTGGCATTCACCTGCTCATTTTTTGCTAATTCAAATATTTCAGCTTATTGAAAGACATGCTTTTGGGGATAATTTTTTGGAAGAGCATGTCATCTGACTCCTTCATTTTGAAATCCAAAATAGTCTGATTCTGACAAACTAAATAACGAAGAAGGGTACATCTTTTATATTTTTCAAGGTCAGTTACGAACTTACACGAAAGTTTGAAAAACTCTCCTATGGTATTTGTGATGTAAATACTTCAAATCAGCTGTTTGAACAAGAATCCGAATATCCGGGACCAATATGTGGCAAAAAAAACTTAATTTAAGCTCAAAAAGATCCGAGAAAAATATGTGGCATCCAATTACAAAAAAAAATAGGCTGCAATGCTTACATTTGAAAAACTGCAATCCAGATTAATTTTTTTTCAACTCTAAGGTTTTCAAGAAGTAACTTTACCTTTTTAAGCACAAGCTTTTTCTTCTCAGAGCATCGATGATTAGTTGAGTTAAGTTTAAGTTTTTACACCATATTAAATCTGATTTAAGGCTTATAATATTTCATAATGATTGAATGTTGAATAATTGAGAAGCATTCATTCTGTGCAGAAATGGCGATTCTACATGCTATTACATGCTAAAGTAACCTGAGCGTAATATTGATTATTCATTAAGTTAAGTAGTACTACAAAGAAGGGTTTGAGCCCAAACCAGTTCTTTTTTCAAAAATATCGTCCCTCCTATGCCAGAAAATAAAATTTGACAAAATTGGCGAACCCCCTCCCCAAAATCGGCTCTAACAAACTAATGTTATGAATATCAGAGGAGCAAAACTAGAGATGATTTGACCCGGGCATACGATTAGAGTACAGATAGAAATTTTAGATGCTTGGAATGAATTAACTACACATTGGAATAGAGTACAGAAAGAAACTTTAGATGCTTGGAATGCATTAGCTACCCATGAAAAGGGTATCCGCTACCCTTGAGAGGTCGGTACGTTGAAAGATATTTAAAATTAGGACATTCGGACGGTCACTGAGTAAACATAGCAAGGTCTGAAGGTTGAGTTGATCTCGAGGGCTGAAGCCACTGAGGTCAGGAATAAGTTGACTAGAATCGTATTATATTTGTATGCTTGGTCAAAATATGACATCTACCGCATACCGGGTATCGAATAAGCCCGAAAACATTGATAAAAGTAAACAAATTTGGCTCGTAGCAGAGTTGACAGAGGAAGGTATATAGTCTTAAAACATGCGCGGACGGGCGATGTAAGCGGATGCCAGGACTATTAGCGATTGGCGTGACTTAACTAAGACTTAATTTAAGAAAAGATAAGGAACCGGAGGTTACCTAAGAGCCTTTAAGAGTCAGAACACTTGTTAGCTATTATTAAAAGTAGTTGGTTCTCAGCCAGAAAAGAGAGCAATTGATACTGAGATAGAGTATATTTGGTTCTCAGTTAGGTAGAGAGAGCAATTATTGCTAGTGAATCGAGTAGTTGGTTCTCGGAGTAAGAGAACATGTATAACAGAAACAGTAAGTAGTTGGTTCTCATCAGAGGTTCTCTAGAAAGAGAGAATTGAATCGTTTAGTGGAGTTAGTTGGAATTTAATTGCAATTAGGCAATTTTGACGATAAATCGCGGACTCTTTCTTTTTGATTTGAGATTTTAACATGGCCACTCAGAGCCTTCTATAATTAGACGTATATTTATCCGAGTTAAATTACATTTGGACATTCTTCCGATTATATTGAGTAGACAAGACAGCCTGAAGAGCAGTAAGCAAAAAGAGGGCAAGCAAAATAATGCAATAGAGAATAGTTGCCACCAACTCACCCTTTCGGGATTGTAGATAGTACTGAATTTCGGTCGCTCCGTTGAATTCACTACCCAAGGGACCATTTTGCGGTGTCTTTAAAGAGAAAACGAACCTAGAGAAGCAATCCCTTAAATCTAAGGACAAGGACCAGCATTTTAATTAAACTATAACTTTTGAAATGATAGCATCCTTCTCCTTTTTGCCATTGATTTTTGGGGATTCAAGTAAAAAATTAAATAAATGAATTGTTGTCCCCATATCTTTAGGGCAAAGCATCAAAGGCTTCTCTTATCAAACTTTTTAATTTTGAAATTATCTGTTCTTCAAAAAAAGAACAACAACATCAGAACAAAAAACAAAAAGTTGTAATATTCCTTGATGACTTGAAGTATTTACCGCCTGTTTTAAACCCAGCACTGTATCTCAGAAAAGTTGTTCATTCGTATCACCATGGTTACAGCCATTCATGTTGGGGTATTCATTTTCTCAGCAGTCGCCTACCTTAAAGTTTTCATACATGTGCGGCAAAGAAGAAGAGAAAACGAGCAACAAAAAAAGACAAAGAAACAAGCAACACGAACCGAAAGCAAAATAAAAATGTTGGCGCGGGTGTTTGGATGGATAAGTGTTACTTATGGAGCCATTTTTGTACCACTGTCATTGGCAAACTTAGTCGTGCAAATGCAGATTCGGAAAGCGGTGCGGGCTTTTAGTGCTTCAAACGATGGTAAGTTGGATATATGCTCCTTCCGTCAGTTAAAAGTTATAGTTGGTTAGGTATAAATCTTTTAATCCAATGAAGTATAACTTGTCCTATTAACTATATTTTCTACGATTTTGAGAAAGTAAATCAACGTAGAAAACAAAACCACGCCAAAAATAATGAAAAAAGAAGAGTTTTTTTTTGGCCAGAAACCGTGATTAGTTTTTAACGAAAGTTGTGTTTTCGAGATTCGAAAGATTCGTTCGTAAAATTTTTTGAAATTATTTGATCTCGTTTTTGTCAGAATTTTTTTCTTATTGGTACTTTCTCACTTTTCTTTGCTTACGAACTAGAGTTTGCTTTCAATAGTTGAATTTTCAAGTTATTATGCAGAAAAAAGCCTAACGTTCTGATCAAAAGGTTGAAAAGTAACCTTGCAAAATCCGTTTTCACTTCCAAATGCATTTTGTTAAAAGCTCAAGGTACCTTGCTAAAAGTGAACTTTTCAGACAGGCAGCAACACTGGTATTTTGTTGTTCGCACTCAGTAACTTACCATTACGTTCAGATCTCACTATACGGAAATCGTTTTTATAAACGATGAGCCAGCTATTAAAAGATGTTCTTAGGTAATCGGTTATACTATTACGGTGAATTACTGACACCTCAATTTAGCGAAAGCAATCAATTTTTGCGTTCCAAATCAACTGTAATATGGTTTTCAGAGTTTGCTGACATTGATTTCAATGGCCAGTTTGACGATGCACCTCTTAAAAATGACGAAGTGTATGCAATGACTTATCAAGTGTACCAAGGTCAGACTGTTGAAATTGGCTTTATTGGTCTGTCTCGTTTGTTCCCTGTTGTGAACTGTATCATTCTGGTCTTTCTTCTCGCTCACATGAAGACTGCTGCCAAGAAGATCCGCTGTTTTCTGAGTCAGAAGATCAAACGCTCGAAGAACGTGTCCTCTTAGAAATGCTAAAACTGTTTATCAAGGCCATTATTTAATGCAACTGGCTGATACGTTTTGGTACCAAAGCAGCTTCAAATCCAACTATTGAATTACAAATCAGCGCAAAATTTTTAAAATAAACACTTGGTATCGTAGTGATTCTCACTAATACTTCGTTGCATTTCAATCGTTGGTTGGCAAACTATGGCAATCTAAATGTTTTCTCATAAATTTTAAGATTGCAGAAAGTGCCAAGATATATTCAATCACAAAAAAGCACTTCATCGAAACGTTTGTTTCATTTCAATCATAAAAAAAAACACAAAACATTCAGATACTCCCTGATGTGAAAAAAATTACACGGTTGAAAATTGCTGTAAGATGTCAATTTTGCGTTGATATTACGAGAAAGCTTGCATCGTCCCATAAAAGTTTGAGCTCATTCCTGTATGAAATTCTTCCCTTTCCTCATTAAAAAGTAACACCATTAAAATTCAGTTTTCTCTTCAGTTTTCTGTCCGGCAAAAAACAATTTACCTCAGACAACTTAATGAGGCTGTATGGATCTTATGGTTCAGAGGCGTTATGGATCATAAACAAATAAAATGGATTTTTTGGTCTGTCTGCATAAAAATCTTCATTACGAGGCCAAACTATGCAACGGACGCCTCCCCCTCAGAAATTCGACCCACTGCCGACCCAAAGGGTCCCCTCTTGTAATATTTTGATATATCCATTTTTGGTGACGGACGCTAAAATTTTTCTAGAGGCGCTTTTGGCGCCAAAATATTCTAATTTTATGGGGGAGCGCGCGCTGAAAAACGCAATTTTTTGGTCTACATTTTTCAAAAACTGCCTACCCGCATTTAAGAAAAGTGAAAACAAATAGTTTATTATGGGTTTTTGTGGTCTAAAATGTTGTAAACATAATCGATTCCCATGCTACGCTCAGACAACAAAATTGGAACAGAAATGGATTTAAATCCATTTTTCTTGCAAGAACAAAATCGTTATAATTCATTTGAAATCCAGGCTCTTTTTCCTTTCCCCCCACCTCACTCAAACACGAATTTTATGGTCTAACGAGTGGTTTTACAAGGTTAACTATGAAGACCAAATATGCTTGTTATGGCCTAATTAGTCTGCATGCCAATTTTCACGACAACCAGAAGTGAACAGTAACTTCAAATAAAAAAATGCAGGTGAGGGTGGGGGGAGGAGAAAGAGCAGAAATCCATTATAATGGATTATATAATGAGTAGAAAATAAGATTAAAATTGATTTTTTCTACTTTATTTTTTTTTCGCTTCGTGTAAACTTTTGTATGAACTTCTGCATTTATCGAATGAGTTATGCGTAAACTTTGCAAAGCGAGTGTACGGCCTAATCATTTTCTAAACCTAACCTCAATTTGCAAAAAGATTCTGTTAAGCTCATCTGAACCACACCCCCCCTTTCCCGCACCTGTTAAGCTCTCCCCTAACGTTTGCCCACCCCCTAACGTTTGCCCCCCCCCTAACGTCTGCCCCCTAACGTTTGCCCCCCTAAATTTTTACTCCCATCTTAACGTTTGTCCCTCCCCCCTAACGTTTGTCCCCCCTCACGTTTGCCCCCAACCTAATGTTTGCCCCCCAACGGTTGCGCCCTCCTAACGCTTGCCCCCCTAGCGTTTGCCCCTCCCCCCTAAAGTTTGCCTCCCGTTGCCTCCCGTTCCCCAATTAATGAAAAAAAAAATTCAGTTACAGTTATTGAGTAACATAAAAAAGTAACAAAAATACTACAGTAAGGCAGAAAAAAATAAATTGAACAATATATTGAACCCCTGTTTGCCCCACCCCCCCCAATTGATGAAAGGAACAAAATTCAGTTACAGTAATTGAATAACATAAAAAAGTAACAAAAATACCAAAGTTAATCAGGAAAAAATATATTGAACAACAAGTAACCAATTTTAATTTGAAACATAGAAAAGTCTTCATGTGCGTTGAAATTCGCATCTGAGTAAACTACAAGTCTATATTGAAGTTCTTGTCAGATATAATGGAAACCTTTCTTACCAAGGTATAACATCGGGATATTCCGCCACCCTGCACTCAGTGAAAATTCTCGAGCACGAGTATTTTTCTATTGCCGCAAAAAACTTTTTCAAATTAAAGGAAAGAACTTTAAAGGAGTTTCTTATAAAATCAGAAGAGACGTCCTTGCTCGTTCCAATTAATGGAATAACAGCGTTCCTTGAAAACGGTAGCGACCAGGTGGACAGGTTAGCAAATGCATTGGAATGAATGCGGTTGAAGAACAAACGAAAACGAAGGACGAAAAAAGCGTTAAAAAAGCAACTAGAGGCAGTTGAAAAGAAATTTAGAAGGGACTATAATGTGGCTTTAGAAAAAAAACTCGAAAACTCTGCCTGAATAACATGTTCAAGGTTATAAAATTTGTTATTTCGCAGCTCATTTTAATCTTTAACATGTTGATAAAATAATATTTTCATGAATCAAGCAATGCTCATCTTAGGGATTGCATTCACGACTGTTCATCAAAAAAAGGGGTGAGTTTTAGTTTTGGAAATGCTGCACAGATACAAAAGGCTTTTGTTTTAATTGCTTACATAAGATCCGAGCGGACTCTTTTCTATTCTAAATTTGTTCACACCTCAAGATAAGAATGCCTTTTTATTTTATTTGATTAAGATATCAACTGAAAAACCTTACTTAAAACTCCAAAAAACAAATCCAAATATCTAACTTCTTGAATTCTGAAATTTTTTTCAGTTTTATTAACCTTGGAAAAAGGCAAAAACTTTTAACAAAATTTAAGGGATGATCGAGGTAAATGAGTATTTATCCACGACATCAGTCAGGCAGAGTGTCTCTAAAGTTTTGATTTTGAAATTAGGTAAATCACCGCTGCTCTGAATTTTAAACTAATTAAAGCAGGTTGAAATATTGAGAGTCTCCTGATCAAACGAAGGATAAGAGATAAGAAGACAACCAAACTAAGAAGACAACTCCAGGTGCAGGGACAACCAAACTAAAATTGTTTCGGAGGAGCCTGCCTGCATTTTTTCAGAGACTCTAATTTCTTACGCTGAGACGGACGGCTAAAATACTCTCAATTTTTCTACTTTTACTTCTTCTTCAAAATAATAAATCTTGAATTCTCTTAGAGTAACTTTTCACATTAAATAGAGTCACTCAATTTAAACAGAGTTAAGTAAAGAAATTTATTAAGTCAAATTTAACGGATCTATGATCTATGATATATGATCTATGATATAATTTAACTGAGACTTATAATTTATGATTACTAATTGAAATATAGGAATCTAACAATCGACCCCAATGTTTTTTTAGTAAACTGCTTATTCGCTTTTAATAAAAATGAAAACAAATCGATTATAATGGATTTTTGTGGTCTAAAAAAAAAAAGGAAGAATAATCGATTCCCATGGTACGCTCAGACAACAAAATTGGACTAAAAATGGATATAATCATTTTTCTCGAAAAAACAAAATGCACTATAATTCATTTGAAATCCATTATAATGGATTGTTTTATCAATAGACAAGAGTTTTTTTCCACTTTATTTTTATTTCGCGTCGTGCAAACTTTTGCAAGAAATTCTGCATTTATCAAATGAGTTATGCGGAAACTTTGCAGCGAGTGTACGGTCTAATCCATTTCTAAACCTAAACTCAATTTGCAAAAAGATTCTGTTAAGCTCATCTGAACCACACCCCACCACCGTTTTGCACTTGTTAAGCCCTCCCCCAAATGGTTTGTCCCCCCTAACGTTTGTCCCCCCCTAACGTTTGCCCCCCTCATGTTTGCCCCCTCATGTTTGCCCCCACGGTTGCGTCCCCCTCACGCTTGCCCTTCCTGGCGTTTGCCCCCGCCTTTTGCACCCTTCCCAGTTAGCCACCTCCCTCCCCCCCCCCCCCCCCCCATTGATGAAAGGAACAAAATTCAGTTATAGTTTTTGATTAACACAAAAAAGTAACAAAAGTACTAAAGTTAAGCAGAAAAAATAAATTGAACAATGAATTGAACCCCCGTTTGCTCTCGTCCCCCCCAATTAATGGAAGGAACAAAAATTCAGTTACAGTTACTGATTAACATTAAAAAAATAACAAAAATACTAAAGTTAAAAAGTTAAGCAGAAAAAAATAAATTGAACAACAATTAACGCTTTTCAACTTGACACGTAGGAAAGTCTCAATGTGCGCTGAAGTTCGCACCTGAGTAAATTGGAAAAAAATATCGATTATAATTTAGTTTCATTGTCAGCATCCAAAAAAGTGAAAAAAAAATCGATTATAATGGATAAAAAAAGGATTTTGTTGCCTCCAAATATAGTAATTTTGTAATGCATTTTTAATTGATTATAATCGAGTTGTTTTCACTTTTGTGGACTCTGACAAGGAAACTCGAATGGAACTCCAATGCCGATTTCATGGAACTCCAATGCCGATAAAAACGCCTTTTTGGCCTGTTTTGTTTTCAAACTTTTGCCTGTGGTGTAGAAAAATTTTTCAAAATGGGGTCCTTATAGTGATTTAGGAGAACTCGGAAAACCAATATGGTCGACCTAAAAAAAGTCGAAAAAATTTTCGAATTTTTTTTGAAAACCCGCCCCTTCTAGAAAATCCTAGATCTGCCCCTGCTCGTAATGTTTAAAAAATAGATTTTATTGGAATAATATTCGATTATAAGCCAGACAGAGTAGAAATTAACATAAAATAAAAAATATACCAATATAAACTTGTTTTTTGCTTAATAGCTTTTCTGTATAATTTCAAAACTTGAACCTTGCACTCTTTAAATTGATGTTTATTTTTGTCTTTGAACTGTTGTTGAAAAATTTTCTTCTTTTTTCACGATTTTTTTTTCATTTTCCTAATTGTGGTTTCTTTTATCCCTATGTGCTGCATTTCCCAATGTGTCTGCTCGATATCACTGAGCCTAACTAAAAATCACTGAGCATAAGACATACAGCTAAAGCATTAAAAAAAATAGCTAATCAACTTTAACTATTTGTTTTTTTTTCAGTAGCATGCAAATTCACTGCATATCATTTGCAAATGAAAGC